GAGAGAGAGAGAGAGAGAGAGAGAGAGAGTGTTGAGCTTATATGTGTGTGTTGTGAAGCAGATTTTATACCATTTAGTGTGGCTATTCCTGAAGAAGCACATGTAGGATTCCTGGGGGTGCGGTGGGGGGCAAAAGTGTTGTTCTTAAGGTGAGAATGAATGAGCTGAAGCTTCTTCCACACAACATGTTTAACATGGTTACTGAATTGGCCATCTTCTGGTTTTCACAATACATCAGATCATCACTAATGAACAAGTTAGGCTTATGTAATGTGCTATGCCTCGCATGCCCCCCCCCCAAAAAAGCTTAATCAAGGTGAATGCTGCTGCCAGGACCCTATCCTGGTTCAGCAAGTGGTGCGAGATCGTGTGTGATGGGATAATTTTCAAGTACAGCTCTGCAGTTTCTTGGCACTGAAGTTCCTGGAAGACGAGTCCTGATGGGCTGAAGTCCAGGAACCAGGTTGTTGCTTATTTCCTGGGTTGTCTGATGTGAGGCAAGACTGAAAAAAGACTCTGATCTCATCATTGTTGCTGGATTCCAACTTCCATCTGTCCCACCCAACATCACCGTGGTTTGAGATGTTGGACACGAGAGGATCACAGAGCTGAAAGAAGCCCCTGAGGCCATCCAGTCCAACTCCATCAGTGCTGCAATCCACATGGCTCTCTAGGGTTGTCTTGGACTTAGGCAACAAAGGAAAGCCTGCTAACTCCCATTCTGACCTCTTATTAAAGGTTAAGACCTTTGGAGTTTTGCTGAAAGTCTTTCCACGTTCCATGCATTTCCTTAGTATCTGGAGGTTTCCCACCCTGGCATATGGCCTGGCAAAAGCAGAAGCCAAGCATACTGATGCAGTGAAGCCAGAGAGGAAGAACACGATGCCAGGCTCAGGCGTTGCTCAACCTCACCCTGGTGAAGCGAGTTGGATCAGCCCAGCCAGAGAGAACAAAGCTCGCCTCTCTCTCTGACTCCACCCAGTGCTGATTCTGCTCTGGCCTCTTCTGATTGTTAGGTCATCTTTGACACTCTTCTCCATCCTTGATTTAGAAATTTGAGATGCTAGTACGTGCTTTGTGTCTCCTGTAGAACCTCTTGCAAGTTGACTTTCGGCAACTGGCAGATTTCTTCCCCCTGCAACTTATCTGGATTTAAAAATGGTCATTTGGGAATTGTGATAATTATTGTTTATTGACTGACCGTTAAAAAAAAATCCAAATCCAAATGCAACTCAAACATTGTTTTTGGCAAAGCCCACCTGTGCATCAAATAGTCCTAGGCCAGCCTTATCTCCATTGTTCCTGTCCAACCTTTGTGCCGACCTGAGGCTGTATTGCACCCATAGCATTACCTGACTGGGGAAATGACTCCCCTTTCAGTACTAGCAAATTGCTAATCTGGATTAAGTGCCTTGCCCTTCCCACTGGCAGGGCCTAAACCAGATGTGGGAGGGTGATCTTCCCCATCATCAGAGGTTCTCGTGGGGGAAACAGGACTTCGGCAGCCCCTTTTCCAGTGGAGGAAGCCAGCACAAGAGACATAGCCCTTCAGCTCTCGTTCACATCAAGCCTCTCTCAGCCTTGGCAGAATGGCCAGTGGGGAGGGACGTTGTGATGTGTACTTGGCAACATCCGGACGGCCATTTGTTTCACCCCTTGCTCTGGTCCTGGTGGCAGGCAAAAGAAACAGCGCTACAGTGCGGGGTCAATGGAGGAATGGGCCCCGCTTAGGAATACAGATAATGCATGGCTGGCATGTCTTCTCAGTACTGGCCCAACTGAAGAGTGTCCTTGAAACAGCCGAGAGGGAAGCAGTTTTAGAAGACTGAGATCTCGCCATCTTTTTTGGAGGCTTGTGAGCAAAGAAGAACAGCTGGCTGGGATGGTCTTGGAAAGAGCCCTGCACTCACCTGCTTCCAAACAGGCCAGGGATGTCAAAAAAGCCAAGATGCATGGAAAAAAGGATGTTCTATAGAATAGAAAGTGGAACGTGGCTGACTCACAGCTCCTTGCAGCAATGGCAATTAGCAGCTGTGTTTAAACTGTATGCTTAACCAGTTCATTGAAATGCAGGTCAGCTGTATTTGTGCAACATACTAAACTGGGTTAGTTTTATCCATGATTAATTTTGTTGTTGAGGTGGTTTTGCCATGGAGAGAGAACAAGTGAGGATCGAATTGCAAAAGAAAGAAAAGGAGGAAGGGTGAATAGGCAGAGGCTGAGAAGCTGAGAAAAGCAGGGGTGGATGGAGTTGTTGAGATCTGCAGAAGGGAGACCTTTAAAGAACAAAAGTCAGTATATGAAGCGTATGATTGTGGTGGAAGTGAGGACGGGTGCGCTTGGATGGAAATGTCTGGAGAAGTATCTGAATATTGTTGGCATACACTACATTTAACTATACTTCCTTAAGTCACACCTTTGTTTACCATTCCTTGCTCCTTTTCTGTGTTTTGCATAAGGTGGTTTACCCTGAAAGGGTAGCACAATTCTTAGCTAGGGATGGAGTTTTTTAAAAAAATGCTTAGTACAGTATGTGGGTGAACTTAGCTAGAGAGATTAAGTTAATATATAGTGTGAATTCCCCAGAAGGACTAAATCAGTATCAAGTTAAAGGGCACAGAGTAAATACAGCCCATAGAGATAAATAACTGCCTCAGATGGCATTGCAAATTGACTATCTTTCCCAGCATCTACATGGAAGCAAGAGACAGCCATGTGACTCCTCTCCTCTCCTCCCTCCCATTACACCTGGCAGACCTGCCAGCCTGGAACACCTTGGCTGGATATGCAACGTCTCTCTAGATTAGACCAAAATGCAGCTGGGTGGTTTGTGATCCAGCACACTGTGAGATTCCAGCCACTCACATTGCAGGGACCAGGCAGTGAAGCCATCCCATAGTTTTCTGGACATAGCATGTTCGGCGCAGGTATTGTGGTTAACCCAATTTTAGGGTTAAACATGTTGTATGGCACAGAGTTGGATACAAATTCAGTCCTAATTAGAGTAGACCATTCAAATCCATAAGGAAGTTCAACATATCCTATGGATTTCAAGAGTTTTAAATCTAGAGTAAGTCAATAAGCCTTCAAAAGTGGCTATGATGGACACAGAATAAGTTCTTAGGAGATTGGGTCTAAACCAGTGTTGTCCAAACTTGGCCACTTTAAGATGAGTGGACTTGCTGGGTGGGGAATTCTGGGAGTTGAAGTCCACTCATCTTAAAGTGGCCAAGTTTGGACAACACTGGTTTAAACCATCATTAAAATAGGTTTTATTTATATTTATCCAATGCATTTCTACCAGGCCTTTTCAACACGGGTTCTGAAGATGGTTCAGAAGGAGGTAGACGGTCTTGCCCCTTCTAATTTTGTTCCTGCAGGGTAGTTTTCTCCCACTGGTAAATCACAGCCATGGCTTTCTCATAGCTTAGTTTGAGATGCTGCGTCCTGTTCAAACCCGCCTCAGGATGCAACCTCTTCCCAAAGTTGCAGGTGTAAACCACAGCCAGTTTTTATCACATGAAAGAACTGGGACCGTATCTATTGCATGCCGGTCCCGTCTCCTGTGACCAATTTTTGGAAAGAGGCTCCTATGAAGCCAGAACTAGTCTTGTTCTGCCAAAAAGGTGGGGAGAGTGCCAAGGCTGAGAAGACAGTATAACCAGGACAGTGGGTGTAGCTTGAGAAAAATTGTTTTAAAAAGCCAAACACCCCCCACACCAAGAAAGTGTGACGGTTTGAAAGCATATTCCCAAACACCTGCACCCAAGGGCATGCAATCTCCTGGGAATCGCTCATCCTGAGCAGCGTGTTACTAATAAAACAGAATATACAAACCTGAGAGCTTTGGCAGAAGATGCAGAGATTGAAAGGGGATCTGCCTAAATCAGTTCTTTGCATTTCCTTAGACCAGCGTTTCTCAACCTCATTGACTTTAGATGTGTGGGCTTCAACTCCCAGAATTCCTCAGCCAGCCTGCCTGCAGGGGAATTCTGGGAGTTGAAGTCCACACATCTTAAAAGTGGCTGAGGTTGAGAAACAGCTTTACCCTCATCAATTCTGAATGCCAGAGCAGACCATAACATTTGAAACCAGAAGCGCTGTGAAGACAACGCTGCCAACCTCCAGTCTTGAACCTCGGGCACCAAATTTGCGGCCCCAATTCTGCTGTGTTTCAAAATCTGCCCAGCCCCCCAAAAAGAAATTATAACAGGAAACTATGAGGCAGTGGTGATGCTGTGGCTAATTTAATCTCAGAATTGTGTTTGGTTTTTGCAGATGGTCTTGGGAAGAAGAGCAAAGGAATTCTGGGAAAAACCGTCAGTTACAAAACGTTAGGATGCGTTTGCTGCAGCTCTTGATTCTCGTGGTCTTAGTTCTCTTTTCCCTCCTCTCCCCTCCCCATACATTGGCGTTAACGTAACCTTCAACTGGAACTGGAGCTGAGCTCGGATACCTGCTGGTCCCCTCCCTTCGTTCCACTGTTTTCTCTCTCCCAGGAGATCAGCTTGGAAATGTCTCTCTTCTCTCACTTACACACAGGATCCAAAACACGGTTATTTACACAAACAGAGCACAAGAGAGGGTGAATATCTCCAGCATTATTGAAAGAGAAAAAGAAAGGAACAAAGTAAAGAACACGAAAACAACACTACCAATTGTACGACTATAAAAAGATAGCCCTTCTAAAAGTTATTCAATAAATAGTAAAACTAGAAAACCAATTGCTTTTTTTTTGTTTTAAAAAAAGTTCAGCATAGGAAATCCAGGTGCTCCATGGAAGCGTTTCACCAAGATGGCCCTTCACAAGCTGGTGGTCTCCAAATATATCGGGGCTTCAGATCACATCATCCCTTGGCTGTGCTGGCTAGTGATTATGGGATTTGGAGCAGTACATCTGGAGGGCACCGGCTTGAGCGAGACTGCCATGACCAACTGCACCAACTGGGACACGAGGCAGTGGGTGGGATGTGGGGAGAAGGCTGGGCTGTGTCCCCAGGAGAGCCTTTTCGAGAAGGAAAGCGGAGTCTGACCAAGCACTGAAAGACAGCTTCTTCCACTGCTCCTGCCTGAAGATCAAGCCACTGTCAAGGTGCCCGTCTAAAAGCAGGCAACCCTTTAGCACTGTCCAGAAGAGAGGAAGAAGCAGGGGATTGGAGCAGGAGGCCTTCTGGAAGCGAAGGTCTTGCGAGCAATTGATTGTCTCTGCCAGTCAAAGAAGGCTTGGACTGACTGGTGGGCCCACAGCTTGATTGGCCTTGAGGATAGAGAAAGGAGGGAGCCGTCAGCACAAGCCCCCACTGGAAGCTTGGCCTGGCCTTGGGGGTGCTTTGTTGGGAGTAGAGGTAGGAGACAGACTTCAGGAGAGGCAAAACTTTCCAACTGGAATGTAACAAGAAATCTTCCAACCACCCTCTGCTAAAGGAGGCTGCCCCCAAGGTCTCCCTGCATCCCCTTTCACAATAACCGGCTTCTGCATTGTGCTGAGGCAATGGTTTGCTTTAACCACGGTTGGTTGAGTAAACCACAAGGGACTGAGTTCACATGCTAAGCCCTAAACCCCGCTTTGCAAACCACGGTGGCTGGATTCACACCACACACTAAGCCCAAATCAAACAATGTTTGGGGTGAAACCAGCCGATGTCTCTTCCCTTTGGGAACAGCCTGGGACTGTGGCTCGTGTGAACGGATCTACAATACAGCACCCACACTGGAAAGGGAGGGTCATCTTGCCAGCCCGCACAGCTAATGACCCATCACCAATTAACCCCAAGGAACAGCTCTTGGGCACAGGAAACAGAACCAGCTCCACAAAGGCCTCAGTGCCCCCCCGCCCTGAGCTGGCAGCCTCATGGCGAGAGCACAGCGGGAAGGAAACTTGTGCTACGGTGGCAGCCTGGAGGGGAAGCCAGCTTCTCCAGGGTCAGTTTAAGGGTCTGTGAGGATGCACTGGCGCGTAAGCTGCATTTCAAAGAAGGGCAGGCGGAGAAATTGCAAACGTCCCCGAGGATGTCTTTTGTTATTATGGGCCTCCTGCTTTCCGCGTAGGGTCGGTGTGCCAAGGACAGGTTTATTTTTGGCCTCCAGAAGACCTGGTTTATGTCTGCAGCAAGGATCTGCTGAGGACTGAGGCTGCTCTGCTGATCTGCATGCCAACGTGCTCCGGGGAGCCTGAGCCGGCTGCCCCCTCACAGCCCAACAAACCCCCTCAGTCCATCCTTCGGCTCCCCGCTGCGGCGTGGGAAGACTTCATTCGGCCCCATCCAAGGTACTGTTCCTGTGAAAGGAAGGAAGACACCCCCTGGATCGAGCCCTCCCTCTGACCGTTTAAAATTCTTGCCTTGATGGCGAAGAGATGTGCATTCACGTGAGAACCCTCTCTTGATATATAGGATATGCATAAACAATATGATATATTGAAAATAGTTGTAATAATATATAGCTAGTCCTCTTCCGTAGATCTAGATGCCTGCCCGCATCCTGGGCCCAGCAGGGCTGGTTGGCCTGACCGTCCACCGGTCCTGGGTCTAGAACGTTCTCGTCAGAGCCACCCCAGGGCAAAGCCTGTGCCTTTTCCCTGCAGCAAAATGTTGTCCCTGGGCCTTTCATGGAAGGACTGGAGCAGGAGAACAATCCTCGGTTTCTTGGCCTGAGATGGCATCCCCACAGCCTTCCGCTCTCGGTACTGAGCTGCCTCACTGGGTAGCTGAGCTGGGCTCTTTGCCGTCACTTTTCCCATTCTTGGAAGCATTTGGCTTCAGTAAGATCAAACGGTTCAAGAGATCAGTCTCTGAGCTGGCCTGGGGGCCAGAGTATGTGTCGCCTGTGGGCAAAAGAGATTTTGTCAGGTCCAAGACCTGGGTTAAGGTAACGAGAAGCAGCTTCCAGCTATGCTTATTTCTGAAAGAGAAAAAAGACTGCACCCAAAGTTATCTATCAGTGGCTGCTGGCAATGAGAGCTAAATGGCACCTCTGTATCAGGGGTGTCCAAGGGCGTGGCTAAGACAGATGGTGGCCATCATGATGCAATCGATAGGATGTAAGGAAAATCAAAATGTATTCCCTTGTGTGTGTGTGTGTGTTGCATGTGTGTCACACATTAAAAAATGGTGGGGCTTTGATTGTACCAATGGGCCACTGTCTCTTTTTTTTTAATCGCACCCTATAGACACACCTGCTCCGCATCCAGAGTGGTCTACTGCTTACAACTGGGTTTTGGGAAACTGACAGTGGGGAGAAGGCCGGATGCTGTTTAGAAGCTTCCCATAACCACCTGCAAATCATCAGCTGCGGGTGGTTGCTGGTTTGATGACACTTTCCTCGTCTTTTAACCCTGTCTGTCTGTGTCTGTCTGTCCTCTCTCTCTCTGTCTCTCTCTCTCTCTCTCTCTCTCATCCATCCATCATCTGTCTGTCTGTCTGTCTGTCTGTCTATCATCCATCCATCCACCCACCCACC